GTGTCTATCATGGCAGCACCGGGACTCTCCCAGATCGTATCGGGTCCCGTGTGTCAAGCAGGCTGCACACTGGATTTGATCTTTGGGGTGGGGACAGAGGTGGACCTGGTTGCTGTCGGTGCAGTGCCGTGGTCAGACCACTTTGCCCTGAAGGCCCGTCTGGGTGCCCAGCCCCTCCCTGCATAGGCGGCGATCTGATTCATGCTCGCCGGCGGAGACTGATGGACTCAATTTGGTCCCAGAATATGCTCTCCACAATCCAATGCCCCCTGGCGACTCGTTGGAGGTGCTGATAGATGAGTGGCATGGCCACCTTTCTGAAGCCAACGATGAAATCATTCCGTGATACCCTCTTGCCCCCCCCCCGCTCCAAATTAGCCCCTTGGCATATTCCTTGGAGCTTTGGAGGATGAAGTGGGACCTTAGACGGCTAGAGTGAGTCCGGTGAAAGACTCATGATGAAGCTACGAGAACATCTTATAGGACATTTATGAAATCCTATGAGATGGTGGTGAAGGCTGCTGAGAGGAAATCTTATGTGGCCTCTACTGCATCTGCTAACTCTCGCCCAGCACAATGATTTATAGCAGGGGTGTCAAACTCATTTGTTACGAGGGCCGGATCTGACATAAATGAGACCTTGTTGGGCCGGGCCATGTGTGTGTCATAAGATGTAATGCCAGGTAGCGGAGATATAAACTGTATAAAGGACACAAACACAAAGGGTTTTTTTTAACTTAAAAACATGCTTGAAGCATTAGCACTCTTGCAATATTTTGTTTATTTAAGAGTGTCTGATAACTGACACCTCTTGCTCTGAATGATTGCATCAAAATGTCTGTGCCGTTGCAATCCTGTTCAGGTGTGTATCCGTAAACTGCAAACCTATGACACAGCAGCAGCAGAACTGGAAGAAGCAGCAGAAGACAGCCAGTTCCACTGCTGGCCTGATAGAAGCCCTCTGGGGTTTGACACCCCTGATTTAGAGTAATTACATCTTTAACTTCCCTTTCAGAGGGAGCCCAAAAGACTAAAACTTCGGCAATTAGGTAGATCCATGCCAATCTGGCCTCTGCCCTGGCCATGGGAGGGAAACAGCATTGGTCACCCTCACCGACAATCTCCCTGGACACCTGGATCGAGGCAGGTCAGCGCTGCTGGTAGTACTTGATCTGACAGCAGCATTTGACATGGTTGAGTCTAACCTGTTGATCCACCGCCTCACTGCTGTGGGGATTCGAAGGACAGCCTTGGAGGGGTTTGTCTCTCCAAGATCAGGACAGAAGGTGGGGCTAAGGGAACTCACCAGGATACCCTTTGGTGTGTGGTGTTCCCCAGGGAACAATCCTCTCTCCAATGTTATTTAACACCTACATGCGCCCCCTCGCCCCACCCAGCCGTATCTGTTGATGGCTGGCTGGCTGGCTGGCTGAACACTGCCCCAGACACCTTGGCCGAGGGTTTGGAGACTGTGGTTGGTTGGCTGGAACAGAGCCGGCTGAAACTAAATCCATCGAAGATGGAGGTTCTGTGGCTGGGCCGGGGAAATTCCCAGCTTTCCAGCGGTGCACCCTGAACGCCAGTGCCAACTCTCAGAAGTCTGGGTGGAACACTCCGCCCAGTGAGACCTGGACCCTGCAGGATCTGATGCAGTTCCACAGGGCAGGCAAGACAGAGGTGTTCGGCCAGGCTTACGGCTGAGGGCGGCGACACTTTCCATTCAGGACTGGCCTCCCTCTCTCTCCCCCCCCCCCTGCATTCTGTGTCACTTATTTCCTCATCTGATTAATTATAGGGTACTTATTCCCCCCTCCTGGATAAGGGACACTAGAACCCTTTCATGTGGGCTATTAGTAGTATTGTAAGAATTATTTTAATTGTTTAATTTGATAAGAGATTGTTTTATGAATTGCTCTGAGCCCTGCTGTAGAGGGGAGGGCAGGCTATAAATACAATGTATTAAATAAATAAATAAAAATAATAAATATAAAATGGCAGCCGCCTTCGCCTCCTCCAGAGCCCTCCCTCCTGGCTCCCAGGAGTTTTATCATCTCTCTTTTTCGGCCAGGGGTCATTTTGTAGAAAAAGAGGTGCAGGAGCTCATTCACATAACTCATTCGCATGTGCCACGCCCCCCTGACATCACCAGAAGTGTGTCAGAAGGCAACACCCACCGCTCAGGCTCCACTGGACTGTTTTGGATTGCTAGCTATTGGGGGGGTGGGGGGAACGTGCAGATCTGTCCTCACAGAGGAGGGAGAGCTTGTACCTGAATAAAGGTGCCACTGGACTGTTTTGGGCCGGGGAACTGGGGGGGGAGCTCTGCAACTTACCTGGCTGCTTCTTGCTCTGACTGAGGGCTGCTGGGAGCAGGGGGTGGGGCTTGTTGCATGTGCCCGCCCCCTGGGCTCTTTACTGCCGGAGCTCCGCTCCTGTGCGCTCCTGCAGGAAGAGACCCCTGCTTTCCCCCACCCACTAACCAGGTCAGGCAGGGCCAAAGCAGCTTTTCCTGAAGTCTCCAGGAGTTTCTTCCTGAAATCTTTCTAAGTACTTAATATCTCCAGATCTCTGTTCCTGTTGGAGGGGTTGTTTGGTTTTTTTGACCATCCCATTGTCTCTTGCTAGACCTCTTTGTGTTTCTAAAAAGGGTGGCTGAGGCCTGAGGCTGGAAGGTTACTGAAGTGCCTTCCTCCGCTTCCCGCCTGCTTTCTGTCCAACGTCAACTCCCGGTGAAGGTTTTACTCTGTCAGGCCTCCACCCCCAAAATGCATTTCTTCACACAAACCAGCAGGGCTGTCCTCTGAAGCTACCTAGCTGGTCTGACTCTGCCATCTTTCATACACAGAGTGCCACCAATCGACGGGGGGGGGGGGGGGGGGCGGCTTACGCTCCCGGGGGGGGGGGACGACTTCAAAATGCAGTGCAGGTCTTTATTCAAGGCTGCAGGCCTGAGACTCAGAGGCAACCGGCAGAGCACTACTGGGCATGCCCAGGCTTTCAATACCCCTAGCAGACGAGAGAGTCACACTCAGCCAGACTTCCTTCAGCACAGTAAAGGAGCAGCAGGGTCAAGGGGCCGGGAAAGGCAAGAGAGGTGGGGGAAAGGAAAGGTGATGATATCAAACTCCGATCCAAATGAAAGCAGCGCAGCAATCGTTTGCTAGAGGCTGAGCTCACTGAATCCCAATTCAGCCCTTGCAGGCTCCCTCTGAAAGGGTTGGTGGGGTTTTTTTCGTTTACATCCAGTGGTAGAGGATTGCCAGTTTAGAGGCTCAGGTAGCATATCCAAATCTCAAGATGTCATAGTCCTGTTGTACCCTACACTGAGTTTTGTGTGCAGTTCTGGAGGCCTCCTTTCAAAAAGGTTGTGGACAGATGTGGGTGCCGAGGAGAGCGACGAGGATGATGGGGGGGGGGCCTGGAGACCACGAAGCCCTGCGAGGAAAGGCCGAGTGTTAATGAGAGAAAAAAAGTTTTATTCACGGCATAAGCCTTCGTGTGCAAGCCCACTTCCTTCTGAGTCCTCCAGCAACCCTAACAGAATAGTCTCCCCCTGCCCCTTTCCTCCGCCCCAGGCCCAATCTTATAAAGCTTTATCAGGCCCCCCCCCCGTCACGCTATCCTCCTCGGGGTTGCCAACCTCCAGGTGGGGGCGGGAGGCCTCCCGGAATCACAATGACCCTCCCCCACGCTACAGAGACCGGGTCCCGCGCGGAGAAAATGGTCTCTCTGGAGGGCGGCGTTCCATCTCGCCCCAGGCTCCACCCCCAAGTCTCCAGGGATCCCTCCACCTGGAGCTGGCAACCCCAAACCTGTCAGCAAGCTGCCATTCTGTTTTCTGTGACCTCTGTGTACATATCCTTGCCCTGTTGCTCCCGGCTTGTTTCTACTATCCTGCTTCTGTGCTGGAATGCATAAGATAACTACTGGTGGATGTGTGGGGGTGAAGATGCTGTAATGCTTGCCTATTGCTATCTCATGAGAACTGCACCTGTGTTTTGTCTGATGTTCTGCCTGGTTCCCATGGACTGGGCGCGCAACTGTTTCATTAGCCCGCCAGCGGGAATATTATTCATTGGATATGTAACTGTTTGAATTTCCTTTATTATGCTTGACCTAACTGTGTATCCCCAGTTCTAACAAAGAACGTGTTTGAGTATGTCTTCAACGCTTTGAAATAAATTTTGCTTTTCTTGAAAACGTGGATTTATTCTCGATGCTTGGGGAGCCAACAAAACCTCGGCTCGCCGCCCTCCTGGCCAGCTGGGCTCCCCTGAGCCGCGCCTGCCTTTCCCAGCGCCACGGCAGCCTTCCGCCCGCAGGGCCGCCGCCGCCAAAGAGCTCCACCGCTCCTGCTCCCGGCCCCGGCGCCTTCGCTTTCTCCCACCCGCCTTCGCTTGCTCCGACTTCGGGCGGCTGTATTTCTCGCCGCCGGCTGCTGAGCCGAGGAGGAGGCGGCGGCGGCACCGCCGCCGCCGCGAGGAGGAGGAGGAGGAGGAGGGGGGCCTGGGGTCCGTCGGTCCGTGCGAGGAAGGGCTGCTCCGTCGAGTGGAAGCGGCAGCTGCCAGAGGAGGGGGCCGTGGCAGGAAGCCCGAAGTCCGTTCAGCGCCGGCCGCGCCAAAGAGCTGCATTCAGAAGCTCGGCCCGGCCCGGCTCCGCCTCTGGAGCCCGGCGGCTGGGCTGGGCTGGGCAGGGCCGGCCCTTGGCGCGCGGCGTGGGAGGAAGGAGGCGGCAGGGGGCGCTGCCCCCCACCCCTCTCTCTCTCTCTCTCTCCCGCAGCCTCTGGCGAGGCGTCCGGG